AGTGACCTACCGTTGTCGTTAATGATTGTATTGATATTAGTGACCTACTGTTAATGATTGTACTGTTGATAGTCATCAATTGTTATTGATGTTGATTGAATTGATATTAGTGGTCTACTGGTGATGATATTGATGCTGTTAAGGCCATTGACATTGATGACAACGGCAGTCTTAGGGCAGGTGTTGTTGATGACACAGGTGACAACGGCAACTGTTGTTGATGACACAGGTGACAACGGCAACTGTTGTTGATGACACAGGTGACAACGGCAACTGTTGTTGATGACACAGGTGACAACGGCAACTGTTGTTGATGACACAGGTGACAACGGCAACTGTTGTTGATGATACAGGTGACAACGGTAACTATTGTTGATGATACAGGTGACAACGGCAACTGTTGTTGATGACACAGGTGACAACGGCAGCTGTTGTTGATGACACAGGTGACAACGGTAACTGTTGTTGATGATACAGGTGACAACGGTAACTGTTGTTGATGATACAGGTGACAACGGCAACTGTTGTTGATGATACAGGTGACAACGGTAACTGTTGTTGATGATACAGGTGACAACGGTAACTGTTGTTGATGATACAGGTGACAACGGTAACTGTTGTTGATGATACAGGTGACAACGGCAACTGTTGTTGATGATACAGGTGACAACGGTAACTGTTGTTGATGATACAGGTGACAACGGTAACTGTTGTTGATGACACAGGTGAAAACGGCAACTGTTGTTGATGACTCAGGTGACAACGGGAGCTGTTGTTGATGACACAGGTGACAACGGGAGCTGTTGTTGATGACACAGGTGACAACGGGAGCTGTTGTTGATGACACAGGTGACAACGGGAGCTGTTGTTGATGATACAGGTGACAACGGGAGCTGTTGATGATGACACAGGTGACAACGGGAGCTGTTGTTGATGATACAGGTGACAACGGCAACTGTTGTTGATGATACAGGTGACAACGGTAACTGTTGTTGATGATACAGGTGACAACGGTAACTGTTGTTGATGATACAGGTGACAACGGTAACTGTTGTTGATGATACAGGTGACAACGGCAACTGTTGTTGATGATACAGGTGACAACGGTAACTGTTGTAGATGATACAGGTGACAACGGTAACTGTTGTTGATGACACAGGTGACAACGGCAACTGTTGTTGATGACTCAGGTGACAACGGGAGCTGTTGTTGATGACACAGGTGACAACGGCAGCTGTTGTTGATGACACAGGTGACAACGGGAGCTGTTGTTGATGACACAGGTGACAACGGGAGCTGTTGTTGATGATACAGGTGACAACGGGAGCTGTTGATGATGACACAGGTGACAACGGGAGCTGTTGTTGATGACACAGGTGACAACGGCAGCTGTTGTTGATGACACAGGTGACAACGGTAACTGTTGTTGATGATACAGGTGACAACGGTAACTGTTGTTGATGACACAGGTGACAACGGTAACTGTTGTTGATGACACAGGTGACAACGGCAGCTGTTGTTGATGACACAGGTGACAACGGTAACTGTTGTTGATGATACAGGTGACAACGGCAGCTGTTGTTGATGATACAGGTGACAACGGTAACTGTTGATGATGATACAGGTGACAACGGCAACTGTTGATGATGACACAGGTGACAACGGCAGCTGTTGTTGATGATACAGGTGACAACGGGAGCTGTTGTTGATGATACAGGTGACAACGGGAGCTGTTGTTGATGATACAGGTGACAACGGCAGCTGTTGTTGATGACACAGGTGACAACGGCAGCTGTTGATGATGACACAGGTGACAACGGCAGCTGTTGTTGATGACACAGGTGACAACGGCAGCTGTTGATGATGACACAGGTGACAACGGCAGCTGTTGTTGATGACACAGGTGACAACGGGAGCAACACTCCCCCCCCTCACCTCATCTCGTTATCATAAACAACGAACTTGCAAAAAAGCAGAGACACACTCCAAAAAAAAAAATACACGTTTTCTATATATATATTAGCTGTTTAGATGGGTTGATCGGGTTGGTGCGCTTCTAGACAGGATTAGAACGTTGAATTCTGCACGTTGGGGGCAAACGATAAGCTATATTTCGTCCCCCCAATTGAGCTTTGTAATCCTACTTTACCTTAACTATCAACATCTCCCTCTACGCCTTCCTCCTCGTCCCAGCAGCGAGCACAGACTAAAGTCATTCACGGCTTCGCTCGGTCTTTAAATACCCTCGAACCTCGTTCTCCAACCTACGACGTCACAATCAAAATAAAACAAAAACCGGGGGAAAGGCGCCAACTTAGGTCATTGGAGGAGAGGTGAGTAAGAGGGGGGTGCATGACGTCTCAAGCTCCGCCTCCTACTCCTTCCCTGTAGGCACTCAGGAAGAACAGGTATATTGAGTCTTTGTAAATGTCAGCATTATCTGGGCAGACGAATCATGCACTTGTCTTTGCCAACGCATGCATACACACATACATATACACACGCATATACGTATACATAACTGTTGTCAATAACACCAGTCATTGCTGTAAACAACCGATAGCTAGACAGGCGGGATCCAAGAGTCAATGCTCGATCCTGCAAGCACATATAGGTGAGTACATATGTTGGGGAGCCGGTCAGCCGAGCGGACAGCACGCTAGACTTGTGATCCTGTGGTCCTGGGTTTGCCCTATGCCCCCTGTTACCTAGCAGTAAAATAGGTACCTGGGTGTTAGTCAGCTGTCACGGGCTGCTTCCTGGGGGTGGAGGCCTGGTCGAGGACCGGGCCGCGGGAACACTAAAGCCCCGAAATTATCTCAAGATAACCTACGGATATTTGTATATAATTCCAGTTGTCGACGAAAGGGAACTTGTGTGTATATATATATTCTTAATAGGTTCGTATATCTAGGTCCCATCAAGGTCTAACTACTGTCGATTTCAACCGACACAACAGTTTGTTCAACTCCTATATGCTGCTAGGTGAACAGAGTCATTAAGTGAACAGCAACGGGTCAAACAGTCCTGTTTCAACAGGAAATCTAATCCGGTGTTCCTCGAATGTTAGACAAGAATGTAATCTTTGTTCTATAGGACCCTTATACATACATAGATACATGTGCCGTTTCAAATGTAGATATGGTAGAGCCCAATAGGCTCAGGAACCTGTATACCTGTTAAGTGACAAGAGGCGGGACCAGAGAGCCAAAGCTCAACCCCCGCAAGCACAACTTGGCGAGTACACACACACACACACCCCACACACACTACACACACATACACACACACACACACACAACCACTGTAGCTGACTCCATACACAGTTTCAAGTGTAGATATGAGCCCAATAGGCTCAGGAACCTGTACACCAGTTGATTGACGGTTGAGAGGCGGGGACCAAACAGCCAGAGCTCAACCCCCGCAAGCACAATTAGGCGAGTACAATTAGGTGAGTACACACACACACCCCCACCACTCACTACCCACCCACCCAACCACACACACACACCACACACACACACCCACGCACCACACACACCCACCCACACACACCACACACACCAGGAAGTAAGTCAGGAGGAAACAAGGCCCCCAGACGACCAACCGGTCAGACAAGGTCTGGTCCTCACACTCACACGACCTTACGGGTGATAACCACATAATGTCAACAGAGGCTAGTGACCAGTGCCCAGCCTTCGACAGTGTTAATGAAGACTTAAGAGGGAAAAAAAGGGCAAGTTAAAGGCTAGAGTATCATAGAGCACAGTTCCCAGCCTTTTTTGTGTAGAGCCGATATATTAGTGTAAACAGGGAGCACCTACCTGGCTCTATTAGGTTCAACATGGGTATATTACAAACGAATATCAGTATATAATAACTTTAATCAAATAAGTATTTTTATTTGCCTTTTCCCCGTTTTCTGTTAATAAAACTTATTTTTTTCTATTTAAATCCGTCTCGGAAACTGTACAGTTTTTAATGAGTTAATACTATTTTGTTAAATCTAGAGAAAGGTAATTTGTTTAATCGTAAAAATAAGGTAAGAATTTTAACTTTTGTGCAGACTTTCGTAAATGATCGTGGAACCCCGGCCATGGAGACCCATTGATCAGCACTCTGGGAGTGACTATTGCACAGTGCAGCAACTCTACCAGTGAATGCACAATAACGTGAATGAACTCAAACCGACCCAAACATACGTGATAAAGTTTTGGTTTGTTATGGACCCCATTAAATCTTTCGACCCCTAATGTACGTTGGATCATTTTAATTTTACAATGTTGGTGGAATCCACTTTATTCAATGTTGCTTCAATTAACAATGCAAGACATTTATAGTAAAAGAATGTTAAGTTTGCCTAAAGTTGGAGAAGCCACACTGTTGGGTCTGGGTGATGCTAAACAGGCAGAGGGCGTGGTCCAGGATGAACAAGGTCGTTACAGTCGCCAGACTCGGGGAATAGGGATGGATGGATTTACTGGCATCGCTCGGTAACCCCCCCCCCCCAAGTTTGCTATGTAACCGAATGTTAGTCATTTGGTAAACGAAAATATTCAAATACCTGGTGAATATTTGTCTACGATTTGACTAGTTCTGTAGGCAGCAAATCAGATTGGATATAAGAAGACTTTGGAAAGAGCAACTTCAGAATTTAATTTCTATATTTGAAATATGTAGCATCTAATGCCAGGAACCAACTAAAGCGATTCCCAGATATAAGAGGAACCAGCCATTGACCAGGCTACGAAAGTTACTGTAGACTATAGTAGCTTGTTAACTGCTTAAAGCTAACAGGAAGTGTTTCCACTAGGTAACAAGACTTATTTTTAGGACATCTTGTTTAAGTACCGGGTAATTCGTTATTTGTACGAAGTCACTGGCATGATAAAGGCAGAGCCAACAGTTTATAACATCAAATGATAAGTACTCATTTAAAGTAGTCAAGTTTGCTAATCAGTCAATTAGAATGGGGCAAGAGATTTTATTTCCCCCCCCCCCCTAGTACATTTAATATATGCATTAATTAACAGTCTAGAGTACAGTGGTGGACATGTTTCTTCAGAGGCTGGTCTCACAGATAACAGGCTTACGGTGGTGACAGGCAATGTCGTGCCATTTAATACCATCACGGTAGAAGTTGTTGAGCACCCCAAGACAGTCTTCGTTGCCCTCACGGTTGTCTGGCTGTGGTCGGCCGAACCTGGCAAACCAGAAAATGAAAAGTTTAGTCTCGAGTTGCCCGTTATTGCGGTATTATTAGATACAGTGAAAGACTTATAAGTAGTGATACAGACCCTCCAGTATGAGACCAGTTTGTGTAGGCGAAGCTGTAGCCAGAGGACCATCGCCAGGTGCTGGAGCCCTTCTTGTTACCACTCGTCCAGATGAACTGAACAGCATCTGGAAGAAAAGTCGAGACTTAATACTGCTCCAAGTTACAGCAAGAAGTTACCCACACTTAAGTTCGCATACAACACGCAGACTTTGGTTGTAGGATAAGCTTTCAACGGGTTGTAAATCAGTCTTAGTTTCTTACGTTAAATACCATATGAAATTTCCAACAGTAAAGCAACCTTACGTTTAGCGAGGACACTCGTTATGAAGTCGTCCTTGTCCTTTGTTTCAATACTAACACTCTTGAAGCCTCTACCAAGGTTGGAGCAGTAAGAGTTTGCTTGATCCCAAGTGTTAGCATTGGAATTTACACACCAAGAAAAGTGGTAGTTTGTACCGAGTCGCGATTCGTGTACCTGAAATATTACGAGTTTAAGTATACTTAGTTTACAGAATGTGGGTGTTGAAGTAATGTGGAAGTTAATAAGTTTTAACTAGATTAACTTACCAAACCTCCTGGAGTTCCGCAGGTGGAAATTTGTTCCCTTCTAGATTCAATCCTTGAGGGAGTTTGAGGCTGAAATGGAGGTTGTGCAACGGGCTGAGGGGCGGAGAACTGCTGGGGCTGAGGGGCGGAGAACTGCTGGGGCTGAGGGGCGGAGAACTGCTGGGGCTGAGGGGCGGAGAACTGCTGGGGCTGAGGGGCGGAGAACTGCTGGGGCTGAGGGGCGGAGAACTGCTGGGGCTGAGGGGCGGGAAAAATATAGAAAGGTTCGGGTTGGAAGACAGGAGCCTGGATATGTCTAGAGTCTTCCACTAGTTGTTCAGGGACTTCAATCCTCGGAGCTCGAGGAGCAGATCCTGGGGACGGAGGAGACATAAGGAGCGAGGAAGAAGCCTGCGGGTGTCGATCAGGAGACGGGAAGAGCACCAATGACCCATCTGGAGCCACGTAGTGATCGCCGAGGACGCCACTGGCACAAACCAATAATATGAAGACGATCATCCTGCAACAATCGTCTAATATCAGCAACAGAAAAGGGTTAAAACCCAAGTAAACACGACTGGATAGTATTCAATATTACAAAATATAAATATAAATTTAAATCACGACAAAACACAGTCTACAACCTGGAAGGTGTAGCTGTTGCTGATGCTCCGAGAACACTGACGACTCCTCGCCTCGTTGTCCCTTATATTACCTAAACCCCCCAACGAAACTAGGCGCTGATTGGCTGATATTCATGTTAAACTACCCCCCATTGGTTCACATTTGGCGGGGACTGAAGTGTTAGTGATTAACAGCCAACAGCCACTCGTTCGCTAAATACGGACGAGTCTCAAGTAAATCACTAATTAACCCCAGAGTGAACGACAGGCTTCGTTGTGTACTACATTTATCGCGTGATAAACATACTGTATTGACGAGTATTGTATTTAGTTGATTTGTATTTTATTGTAGGTGTATTTGTAATTGTATGTAATCATTTTATTGAGATTTATATGGGTCCTCATTACCATTTAGCGGTTTGTTTAACGTCATTTTTCCAATGGACCTATTAGTGAGTTAGTTATCACTACTTGAGAAGAGCAAGTTTGGTGTTGGCCTGGAAGCCTATCAACCTCTGGAGGGTTATTAAGGCCACCGCAATAACTTATTAATGTTGTTTCAGATTCAGCTACTTGGAACAAAAGTTCCGAGTAGCACGGGCTATGGCGAGCCCGTAGTAACTTACTAACTAGCAAATATACATTGTCCAGGACTATATACACTCAGCGTATATACAGAGAAGCGTTGTACACCTCTTAGCTTACGGGCTCACTATAGCCCGTCCTACATAGACATTTCGTTCGGCATAGCTAAATCTTAAACCTCTCATTTGTAGGGGCTATTCATGCCCGTGCCATCTAATGGATGGCTTAATCTTCATCAATTAATCAATCTTTAGTCCTGGAGTATCTTCAGAACTAAAGTATTCTTGTTGGTTGATCAGTACGCTATTATGGTGGTCTTAATAACCCTCCAGAGGTCGAAAGGCCTTAAGCCCATCACCAAACCAAACAGGAACATAGAAAGTTAGACAAACAAATGTAACAGCAAAAGCAAACTCTATTTCAGAAATGAAAACAGGTTCCTGTGTTTGTCATCCACAAAAAACATAAGTAGAGGTTCTTGGGTTTTTTCTGCTTCACGTGGTGTTGTTCCCTTGTAATTTCTCTCTCAGCGAAGTGACAGTAACCAGATGCAGACGAGGAGTCACAATAACGTGGCTGAAGTATGTTGACCAGACCACACACTAGAAGGTGAAGGGACGACGACGTTTCGGTCCGTCCTGGACCATTCTTAAGTCGATTGTCCCGTTCTCTTAATGTGCCACAACGTACAGAATACAATGTTCTAACGCCAACCTGAAACTCACGACCACAAGCTACCCCACCTAACCTAACCTAACCTAACCTAACCTATCCTAACCTAACCTAACTTAACCTAACCTAATCTAACCTAACCTATCCTAACCTATCCTAACCTAACCTGACCTAACCTAACCTAACCTAACCTAACCTAACCTAACTTAACCTAACCTAATCTAACCTAACCTATCCTAACCTAACCTGACCTAACCTAACCTAACCTAACCTAACCTGACGTAACCTAACCTAACCTAACCTAACCTATCCTAACCTAACCTGACCTAACCTAACCTAACCTAACCTAACCTAACCTGACCTAACTTAACCTATCCTAACCTAACCTAACCTATCCTAACCTGACCTAACCTAACCTAACCTGACCTAACCTAACCTAACCTAACCTAACTTAACCTAACTTAACCTAACCTAACCTAACCTAACCTAACTTAACCTAACTTAACCTAACCTAACCTAACCTAACCTAACCTAACCTGACCTGACCTAACCTAACCTAACCTAACCTGACCTAACCTAACCTAACCTAACCTAACCTATCCTAACCTAACCTAACCTAACCTGACCTAACTTAACCTATCCTAACCTAACCTAACCTAACCTAACCTAACCTGACCTAACCTAACCTAACCTAACCTAACCTAACTTAACCTAACCTAACCTAACCTAACTTAACCTAACTTAACCTAACCTAACCTAACCTAACCTGACCTAACCTAACCTAACCTAACCTAACTTAACCTAACCTAACCTAACTTAACCTAACTTAACCTAACCTAACCTAACCTAACCTAACCTGACCTAACCTAACCTAACCTAACCTAACCTAACCTGACCTAACCTAACCTAACCTAACCTGACCTAACCTAACCTAACCTAACCTGACCTAACCTAACCTAACCTAACCTAACTTAACCTAACTTAACCTAACCTAACCTAACCTAACCTAACCTAACCTGACCTAACCTAACTTAACCTAACCTAACCTAACCTAACTTATCCTAACCTAACCTAACTTAACCTAACTTAACCTAACCTAACCTGACCTAACCTAACCTAACCTAACCTAACCTAACCTAACCTAACCTGACCTAACCTAACTTAACCTAACCTAACCTAACCTAACTTATCCTAACCTAACCTAACTTAACCTAACTTAACCTAACCTAACCTGACCTAACCTAACCTAACCTAGCCTAACCTAACCTAACCTAACCTGACCTAACCTAACCTAACCTAACCTGACCTAACCTAACCTAACCTAACCTAACCTGACCTAACCTAACCTAACCTGACCTAACCTAACCTAACCTAACCTGACCTAACCTAACTTAACCTAACCTAACCTAACCTAACTTATCCTAACCTAACCTAACTTAACCTAACTTAACCTAACCTAACCTGACCTAACCTAACCTAACCTGCCGATGCACAGGAAATGTGGATCTTTACGAGTCGCTACAGTCCATAGTACTTTCTAATGTGTACATTAGGGGCCATTACGAACAAAATGAGACGTATTAATTGAGAGGACAGGTTGCATTAAATCATATAATAACTATGGGAAGTTATGGGTAGGAGGGGTCTCAGTAGCGCAGTAGTCTGTGACCGAAGCTCATACCTAAAGGACCCGGGTTCAGTTCCCAGATCGGACAGAAGCGTTTGGGTACGTTACTTTTCATCTTATGCCCTGTTCGTCAAGCAGTTAAATAGGTCCCCTGGATTTAGATAGTTGTTGTGGAATGCATCCTAGGGACAGTCAGTATTTTTGACTCAGGCTGTTGTTATCAACTTTAATGTCTCATTGAACAAATTCACAAGGGCCGTGATGAGGGCTCGAACTTACGTCCGAGACGATCCCAGACGCTGCCTTAATGTCTCATTACTCCTTGTTTAACCACTTTCTCACCTGTGGACCCCCTGCAACCATGCTCCACCTGTGGACCCCACCAACCACGCCCCCACCTGTGAACCCCACCAACCACGCCCCCACCTGTGGACCCCACCAACCACACCCCTACCTGTGGACCCCACCTGTGGACACCCTACATCCCCCCTCAAAAAAGACTGAGCTAGCAAAACTATAAATTTTATACCGTAATGCAAGCCTCCTAATTCCTGTTAAACCAACTAATACAAATAACCATAATTTCTACCACGAATCCCACGAAATTCTTCCATGGACTCCAAGATGAGATCCACTGGCATGGTGGACCTTAGATAATCGTAAATACAGGATTCCTGTCTCAATAGACGGGAATTATGTACTGGGAAAACATTAGTCTGACATCCATTGAAGACAACTATTGGGAACACCGTTCAGTCAGTGACTCTTCACTTCCAGTTTGGAGTGGCTAAATTAAGGTGGTAATAAGCTGGTGTTACATTCTCTGACACACTTTATAAGCTTGTGTTCAGGTACTTGCTTTGTTCTCATGATATATTTCGTCATGAGATAAATGCAGTATGTCTGATAGTATTGGCATACTGTTAATTGTGAAAATTGGTGTATGTGGAGGTATGTTTACAACGGGAACATACCCTCTAGTCACACAATATACATGGCTTATACAGTGTATAAGCCATGGATTATACAGTCACACAAGCCTATACATGGCTTGTGTGACTGTATAATCTTTTTATGTATGATATTGCTCTGTATATTTGCATTTGCACTTTGATAATGGGAATCCAATGTGATTGGATTCCCAGGCACATATACCATAGGGAAGACAGGAGTAAATAAGAGAATAATAGAGATTAACTAGGACAGGGCGAGGAACACAGTCTCTGACCTTGGAGAGAATGTCTACTGTTTTAGAAACATTTTTACAATTTTTTTCGTATGTGGCGATGGAAGTTGAGTTTGTTGGCAATGTGAACACCGAGGAACTTCCCATCTACAATATACAAGGGATGGGAAGAAGGTGCTTCTTCCTATCTTGTCACACGGCTTCGAAAAATGGAAGGAAAACCTGATTGTATTTTACTCCAATTAACGACAGTGAACTCGTTAAATGAAACCTATTTGTAAACAACTAATTTTCGTAAGTTAATGTTATGACTCGTACAGGCGAGGATAAGTATTTCTTGACCCCAGTTTCTTGAAAAGTGCAGAATGGCAACGCCGGGTTTGTTATTGTTGTAGAATGGCAACGCCGCGTTTGTTATTGTTGTAGAATGGCAACGCCGGGTTTGTTATTGTTGTAGAATGGCAACGCCGGGTTTGTTATTGTTGTAGAATGGCAACGCGGCGTTTGTTTCTGTTTAGGTAATGTCATAAGTTAATGTTATGATTCATACACTCCGGTAAAGTCCCAAAGACCATTCACTCTTCCTGTTGTGAACGGTGGAAAGATATATATAGATTGTTATCAAAATTTTAATACTAAGCCTTATGTCATTAATTTTATTTTAATAAATAAAATTATAATTTAATTTTCGTCATTATGGATTTACAAAATTGTTTAAACTGTGCCGTATAATATAGTAGCTTCAAATTGTACCGTTTTGGCACATTTGTACCACAAGTACAAGTAAGTACAAAGGTACAGAGTGCTTCTTGACCCGTCCTAAGAGATAGAGTAAGCAGCATCATTATAGAAATTCTCGTACGCCAGCACCAGGGAGCCAGCGGCTGGTCAACGGGAGCCCCGCCTGTGTTTACAACCATCAGCTGATTCATTCCCATTTATATCAAAAGATCAAAATACCTTCTGTAATGTGATTGGAACACAAGAAGTGAGCTCAACACTTGGTGGATGTTGTGTTGCTGGGATGAAACACCACCAGGCTTTATATGGGGTCGTTAACAGCCATTGGTAACTGGAGAGGTGATCTGTACCCCCATAGTTCGGCGGGTCAGGCCAGTATAACATTAATGGTGACGAGTGATGGCTGTGTTGTGGTGACTGACAGACAACTCTAAAGTGTATCTGAAAGTCTTCCCAAGTGTTCGGTCACACCGAGTTAGGAAGACTGAATGTTGTGGTAATTAACAACTGCGACTAGTTAGTTACCACTAGTGTGTGGACTAGCAAACTACACTGTTGTGGTTAGCGGTTGGCAGTATTGTTATTATTAGTGTAGTGTCTAAGACAATGTTGAAAGTGCATTGTGGAGAACACCCAGGAGACCAAGGCAGGACCCGCTGCTACTAAATGTTAACACTTAGACAGTTTAGTGATTTACTGGAAATAAAAGATAGAAATTGGCTTTTATATCCGTGGCAAAATAGTTCATGCAGTGTTTCTCGTCTCGTGTTGGAGATTTAATTCATTGTGAGTGATTTGTGAATATTGGCAACACCGCTTTTGTTTATGTTAGTGAGCACGTGGTGAATGTTGGCAACACCGCTTTTGTTTATGTTAGTGAGCACGTGGTGAATGTTGACGCTGACCCCCGTGTCTGACCCTACTACGGACCCCCGTGTCTGACCCCACTACGGCCAGCGCTGACCCCCGTGTCTGACCCCCGTGTCTGACCCCACTACGGCCAGCGCTGACCCCCGCGTCTGACCCCACTACGGCCAGCGCTGACCCCCGTGCCTGACCCCACTACGGACCCCCGTGCCTGACCCCACTACGGACCCCCGTGCCTGACCCCACTACGGACCCCCGTGCCTGACCCCACTACGGCCAGCGCTGACCCCCGTGCCTGACCCCACTACGGACCCCCGTGCCTGACCCCACTACGGACCCCACAACCATCCTTCAGGAGAAGGTAAGCACCACCTTGAGCCTCAAGGGTGACCTCCGTCTCCACCTCCAGCATACCAACATGGAGGTGGATGTGACCATTCATATGTTATATATGTGGTATATGATTATAATGTGTATATAGGACTGTCAATAGGCACATTAATAATGACTTTTTCTGTCATTACAGGTAAGGCTTTTTTAGCTCATCGCGGGACACAACTCCACCAGCTTAAGGTACGTTCCACTTGCCTGTTGTGTCCGATGTTTGTTTCAACACAATATTACAGGACACGCGGTTACCATTATGTAATTATGGGTAAATGTCCTAACCCTGTTAATGGACCTGGGGGCGCGTGGCCCCCCTTTTACTGGTCCTGGGGGCGTCGAGGTCCCCCCTTTTACTGGTCCTGGGGGCGTCGAGGTCCCCCCTTTTACTGGTCCTGGGGCGCGTGGCCCCCCTTTTACTGGTCCTGGGGGCGTCGTGGTCCCCCCTTTTACTGGACCTGGGGGCGCGTGACCCCTCTTTTACCGGACCTAGGGGCGCGTGGCCCCCCCCCCTTTTACTGGCCCTGGGGGCGCCAAGTCTAATTTTATTTTGCGTTGTGGATTCCATCGAGTACTTTTTAAGTTGTGATCATGTCCCTCCAGCTGTGGCCTTCAGTGACGTGAGCTTCAGTTTCATTAGTCTTCCCTTGTATATTACTCCCTAAAACTCTCGTACCAGCCTGGTATTATGGGGTGGGAAGGGGTGGGGGGGGGCCTTCGTGCTAGAGCTGCATACTATATAAAGGGTCTGACGTTCGTGGTGTTGGGAGACACGGCACTGTGTAGCGTCAGTGTTGCGTGTGAGACAAGACGGCTTGAGTGTTGTGTCTTAGGGTTAAGACACACTCAACACTCCTCCAATATTCCTGAGTGTCTCAAGTAGTTACAGAGCTCAAAGTGTCTCACACCATTTGTTCTGAAATCATTTATTACAGAACAATCACAGATAGTGATGGAGAATGTGTCCTAATTTGTTGATATCATAGAGCGTTATCAATGGCTATCTTTTCCTTGAATGTCAGTGACTGCTCCTCTGCCTTACCTAATGTCCTAAAAAGTGTTCACTTTACAAGATTGGATTATCTTGGCCAAAATTGTGCAGAACATATATTGAAATAATAAAAACTGGCCTCGCTTGAGTGTACGCAAAATAAAAAATATAAAATAACGCATACCAGTTACATTAGAGAAACAAATTCATCGTTACGGGAGAATATATGGGAAAGGAAATGTAAGGGTGGTCGACTTGGCCTCTCCTGGTCGACGACCGGGCCGCGGGGACGCTAAGCCCCGGAAGCACCTCAAGGTGGTAACTAGTGTATTAACACACTAACGGTGCAGTTCATTCTGTACTGTCTATTAAGTATTATAACGAACTGTGTATGTGCTGGCAAGGCGATATATCCACTCGCCGGATGAGTGACACTGCCCAATAAACTCGTCCCTCGGGGCAACATTTAAAACTTAAACACAAACCCGAATCTCTCACGCAAACACTACCAAAAACATCACTATTAGTGATGTTTTTGTGATGACAACACTAAATATCAACGAGCAACACCTACACATACAACACCATCCAATATGCAGACGATGAGTCACAATAACGTGACTGAAGAATGTTGACCAGACCACACACTAGAAGGTGAAGGGATGACGACGTTTCGGTCCGTCCTGGACCATTCTCAAGTCGATCTTGGTCCAGGATGGACCGAAACGTCGTCGTCCCTTCACCTACAAGTGTGTGGCCTAGTCAACAACCAACCACTATCACCCAAACACTTCCTACTCTCACGCTAAAAAAATACACTCCCTCTCTCTCGGAATTTATCATTTGAAAACCTATCAAGAGTTTAGATGTTGCGTGACGCGCTTCCAGTTACCTCACCATCACAGATAATGACAACGGTATAAAAGCCAGAGTCTGGCTGGCTTCACCATCACTTCTATCATCACTCTCGTCACCATCATGGCTTCAAAGGTACAACTTCAGGTCTGGACTGCTACTCAGTCTTAAAAATCAAAGAAAATAAGAAAAAAACTATAGTTTTCAAAGCAGGCGATGAGTCACAATAACGTGGCTAAAGTATGTTGACCAGACCACACACTAGAAGGTGAAGGAATGACGACGTTTCGGTCCGTCCTGGACCATTCTCAAGTCGATCTTGGTCCAGGACGGACCGAAACGTCGTCCTCCCTTCACCTTCTAGTGTGTGGTCTGGTCAATATAGTTTTCAATGTTTCAGCGTAGATTAATTTGCTGTAACTATAGCCATGTTTTAGATGTATTTTTTTATAGGAAAAAGACATAAAAATCTATTATAAAGTTTAATTTTTGGAGTCATTGTTGAGAATTACAGAACATAAACAGGCTGTAGTTAGTTAATATAAGGTTTTCTCTACTCTACCTTGGTAAACTGTCTTCTACTAATATCACAAAGTACCTAAAGAATTGTTCAAACTTGCACACAATTTCAATTTCATAAGGATATGTGCACCGAGATGTATACTCCACTGTGAATTTACACAGAAAGTTTACTTTAAGTATCCTTGTTGGGTAGTCAGTTATTTGCATTAATCCCTTAATAGCCATTACACTGATAGGCTTCAAGCTCTCTCTCTCTCTCTCTCTTTCTCTCTCTCTCTCTCTTTCTCTCTCTCTCTCTCTCTCTTTCTCTCTCTCTCTCTCTAAAGTCAGAGACCTAAGAGCCCCTTTTTTGGCGGCATTAGTGACCCATCAAACTAGTAAGGATTCCTAAGGGCTGACACGCCCAGCGAGAAGCGTTTATCTTCCTGTGCTCTAGCAGGTGTGTCTTCCCGTGCACCAGCGGGTGAATATCTTCCCTAATCTGTGTTTACCTCCGCGTGCACTAAGAAACATTTAACCCTGGACCAACAGATGCTAGTCCTGGCCGTCTTGGTGGGCGCCGCCCACGCCCTCCCCGAGGCTCCGGCTCCCTATGGCGCCCCTGCAGTGAGTAGCACTAAATTGTCTTACTTTTATGGCCGCTCGGAAGCTAAGCATATTGGTGTTCATTCTGGAACTGCTCAAAAATTTAGTGTTTCAACAAAGTTCAAACAAAAATGCACCTGAATGAACGCTTTTGGATTCATCAAAGTTGGCATATTTCAAATGAATTCTTTGTTTACGAACAAAGTGAGAAGTCACACACAGAGATCACACTAACGTGATGCATCAAGTGAACAAATCCACAAGGGCCGTGACGAGGATTCGAACCTGCGTCCGGGAGCATCCCAGACATTGCTCAGTCGATTAAGGCAGTGTCTGGGATGCTCCCGGACGCAGGTTCGAATCCTCGTCACGGCCCTTGTGGATTAGTTCATTTAAAGTGAGAAATGATTGACATGTGAGAATGATTTCTTAGCAGTGATCACACTTCTATACAAAAAGGAGACTTACATTGGATTGTCTTGCAAGGGTCCTGCCAGTTACAACTTCAACTATGCCGTGAAGGACGCCGGCGGGAACGACTTCGGTCACAGTGAGCGACGGAACGGCTACAACACCCAGGGCTCCTACCACGTTCAGCTCCCCGACGGACGACTCCAGAACGTGGCCTACACCGTCAACGGTGACGCAGGCTACGTGGCCCAAGTTGGGTATCAGGGTGAAGCCTCGTACCCAGCCTACCATCCAGCACCCAGACCTGCCCCAAGCTACGGCACATCCCCTGCCTATGGAAAATAATTGAGTGATAATTTTTTTACATATATAAAGGAGGGTACCACACATGGTGCAATTGTAGGGACCCACAGCCTCAAAGTGAACAATTTATTTTTAATATACATTATAGCTGACTAAAAGGCTTTTGGATGTAATAAATTCATCGAGCTGAATCCTTAAGGTCATTTTGTTTTATTCCTTATCACCAAAATTGCTTTTGACTTGATGTAGTTCCGCTTATCTAACCCAAGCTCTTTTTTTTTAAATTATAAATTAAAGAAAACTCTATCAAAAATTACCGAGTGGTTTAAAAAATTTAATGTTTGATTAATAGTATAGTTGTGTAGTTAGTCTTAACCGTTAGGCTGCTAATAACGCCTATGAGCGTTATTAGCCGGCGTCAGTGGTTAATGGTTAATGGTTGGGAGGACGAGAGGACCGGGGTGGTTAATGGTTGAGAGGACGAGAGGACCGGGGTGGTTAATGGTTGAGAGGACGAGAGGACCGGGGTGGTTAATGGTTGAGAGGACGAGAGGACCGGGGTGGTTAATGGTTGGGAGGACGAGAGGACCGGAGTGGTTAATGGTTGAGAGGACGAGAGGACCGGGGTGGTTAATGGTTGAGAGGACGAGAGGACCGGGGTGGTTAATGGTTGGGAGGACGAGAGGACCGGGGTGGTTAATGGTTGAGAGGACGAGAGGACCGGGGTGGTTAATGGTTGAGAGGACGAGAGGACCGGGGTGGTTAATGGTTGAGAGGACGAGAGGACCGGGGTGGTTAATGGTTGAGAGGACGAGAGGACCGGGGTGGTTAATGGTTGAGAGGACGAGAGGACCGGGGTGGTTAATGGTTGAGAGGACGAGAGGACCGGGGTGGTTAATGGTTGAGAGGACGAGAGGACCGGGGTGGTTAATGGTTGAGAGGACGAGAGGACCGGGGTGGTTAATGGTTGAGAGGACGAGAGGACCGGGGTGGTTAATGGTTGGGAGACGGAAAAATTGCTGTGGCTCAGCAACGCACATGTGTTGCTGAGCCACAGCAACGTGTGGCCGGGTACAGCTAGTTTTTTTTTTTTTTTTGAGATATATACAAGAGTTGTTACATTCTTGTAGAGCCACTAGTACGCGTAGCGTTTCGGGCAAGTCCTTAATCCTATGGTCCCTGGAATACGATCCCCTGCCGCGAAGAATCGTTTTTTCATCCAAGTACACATTTTACTGTTGCGTTAAACAGAGGCTACAGTTAAGGAATTGTGCCCAGTAAATCCTCCCCGGCCAGGATACGAACCCATGACATAGCGCTCGCGGAACGCCAGGAGCGTTCTCATTTAAATGTTACTTGCCCCAAAATTATTTAGATGATTTGCCTTATACTATTAATTCCGACACTCCCGACTGTTCAAGTGTTCATTATTTTTTAATGTTGTCCAACATTAACGTAATCTCTCAAGTCAATATACTACCTGGATATTCTAGCTTTGTTAGCTATTGCTAGAAAGTTAGCTATACCTCTGGAAGACAGGAGAGTTAGGGGGGACATGATCACCACATATAAAATTCTCAAAGGAATTGATAGGGTAGATAAAGACAGACTATTTAACACAAGTGGCACACGCACTAGGGGACACAGGTGGAAACTGAGTCCCCAAATTAGCCATAAAGACATTTGGAAAAAAATTTAGTGTTTGAATAGTTAATAAATGGAATGCATTAGGCAGTGATGTGGTGGAGGCTGACTCCATACACAGTTTCAAGTGTAGATATAACAGAGCCCAATAGGCTCAGGAACCTATACACCAGTTGATTGACAGTTGAGAGGCGGGACCAAAGAGTCGAAGCTCAACCCCCGCAAGCACAACTAGGTAAGAACACCGAGATGATGATTACATATGTTGGTGTACATATTCCTAGTATACATTGTATACATTTCTATCATGTATCCATGTATATAACTACCAACTACGGAAGAGGCTACAATTCGGATGATGAAATAATAAAAAAAAATATTTCATTTGTGGAATGTATTTGTTCATAAAATATAACATAGGGAATGTATTTGTTCATAAAATATAACATAGGGAATGTATTTGTTCATAAAATACAACATAGGGAATGTATTTGTTCATAAAATACAACATAGGGAATGTATTTGTTCATAAAATACAACATAGGGAATGTATTTGTTCATAAAATACAACATAGGGAATGTATTTGTTCATAAAATACAACATAGGGAATGTATTTGTTCATAAAATACAACATAGGGAATGTATTTGTTCAACAATACATTCCCTATGTTGTATTTTGTTCATAAAATACAACATAGAGAAACAAAAATTATAATTTTTATGATCAGCTATATTCACATAAGTTACTTGTTCTTTATGTTAATAAGTTAGATTATTATGAGTATCTTCATTTGTATGTTAGCTATTAAGACAGGTTAGAAATACATACAAGTCAGCTATACATACAGGTTAGTTACACATAGGCCAGCCAGAGGCCTATGTATAGCTTAGGAATATCCCTGCAAAAAAAAACTATACATACAGGTATGCTCTATATATAAATTAGCTGTACATGAAAGTTACATATAAACAATTTAGCTATACATACACGTTATCTTTACATCAAAGTTAACTATATATATATAAAGGTATCTTTGACATATTTTTACCTTCACATTATAAGTTCCTTAATATTAACTTCACAACGTATCTGGCAGACTAAAATTATCCGTAGACCGGGGCTGGCTGGTAGGCTGGAGCTGGCTGGTAGGCTGGAGCTGGCTGGTAGGCTGGGGCGGGCTGGTAGGCTGGGGCGGGCTGGTAGGCTGGGTACTGGGCTTGGCCCTCGTAGGTCACTTGGGCCACGTAGCCGGAGTCGCCGTTGACGACGTAAGTCACCTTCTGCAGGCGGCCGTCGGGAAGCTGGACGTAATAAGAGCCCTTGGTGTCGTAGCCGTCGCGAGACTCCTGGTGACCGAAGTCGTTACCGGAGTTGTCTCTCACGACGTAGTTGAAGTCGTACTGCGCGGGGCCCTGAGGAATGAAGACCTGGTGAAACAACATTTCTAGGTGGGAGATTATGACAAAATATGTTCTGTGTGACCATGAAAATGATGATTTATTGTGTGTGTTTGAGGTGGAACTGACCACAGGGGCTGGGTTGCCGTAGCTAGGGGCTGGGTTGCCGTAGCTAGGAGCTGGGCGGACTTGGACAGGCGCTGGACGGAAGTGAATAGGTGGTCGGTGGACGGGGCTAGGTGCTGGAGCGCCATATGCGCCTGGGTACTGGGGCTGTGCGCGCGCAGTGGCGGCGGCCATCAAGGCAGCCACCATAACAACCTGTTTGTACAGAGAGGAATTTGTTTGTGGGAATTGTCGAATTGATTGATTGATTGATGAAGATTAAGGCACCCAAAAGGTGGCACGGGCATGAATAGCCCGTAAGTGGTGGCCCTTTTGAGTCATTACCAGTATCAAGAGCTGATTCTGGAGATCTGTGGAGGTGCGACTGCACCCTGCGTGACGGGAGATGTTTCCCGGACCAAATGGTGACCAGATGGTGTGTCGAATTTATGGCTGAATCTATAACAACAACAACCCAGGAGACATTACGGGCTATTCATGCCCGTGCCACCTCTTGGGTGGCTCAATCTACCCTGGAGTCAGGCAACTGTTGTGGGAGTTGCATTATGTGCCCAACAGAGTTATTATTATTATTCACAGAAAACTCAAACTAATGTGATATATAGCAATGAGAAAATCAACTGGAGCTCTGAAGTGACTCGAACCTTCGCCCAAGAGACTCCCAGCCACTGACGTTAATCTCTGGACCCCTTCCCCCCCCCCCCTCCCTTCTGAGTTGATATAACCTGTACAGACTTGCTGTAATTTCAGTAGAAATCAGGTTGTATAACTTTTGCACAGTCAGGGTGGTCCAGCGGTTAGCGTTAGTGGCTGGAAATATCTCGGTTCGGGATTCGAGTCGAGCTAAGTTGATTTTCTCAATATTATTATTATTACCAAAATGTAACCCATATTATGGGCGTGTGTGAACGTGTCCACAATTCGTCTGTCAACTTGTGTCTAACTAGAAAAGTACATTTCTATTAGCAACTTATAAATTACAGTGTCGCGAGTTTATCAATAGGGGCTAAAGTTGACGGAAGTCAACCATATGAACACTTTGTGGGTTGGGAATGTTACTGGGAAGCCATGGACAGTTGACCTCCAGGCTTTGGTTGATAAGTTTGAAGCCCATCAACCCTGGAGGGTTATTATGGCCACTACAACACCTTACTAACAAACAAGTTTTCTTTAGTCCCGAAAAACAGGTGAATTCTAAAGTAAACTGTGTATATATACACACACACAAGTGGAATACACCCCTCGCTTTGTATATTCCTCTTGTGAGCTGGAGGTGTATACCTTAGTAGCAGCCATAGCGAGTGAAGCTAAGACAGTGATGTAGACAACCACATCTCCACCTCTTATATACCAACCATGGATAGTGTGGTCACCCGACCGACGAAAACAGAGGTCACTGTTGACGTAGTTGTGGTGGACCATTTGTGTCATAATGTGTCAGCAGCAGCAGCAGAGTGGAGAGGAAACCTTGACAAGTTGGCCCTATTTCCCTGGACACGCGTTCGCGGCTCTCAAATGACTTATCAAGAGAAGCAGCAACATGTGACGCTCGCCTCTCAATTATTGTTCTCTTTTTAAGACGGGGAATTATATACTGAGTTTGTCTTAGTCGTGGCATCCACTTACGGGCTATTCATGCCCGTGCCACCTCTTGGGTGGCTTAATCTTCATCTTCATTATCGTCGTGGCATAGTTAGATGGATGAATGTATGGATAGATCGTTCGATAGATGGATAGGTAGAGGACTAGGTGGATTCATACCAATGTTGGTGGGTTCAGCATAAATTTCTATGGTCAAGGTGTTGTCTTTGGGTCTCACGTAGACATGGAGGAAAGAGAGGGTACCATCGTTGCCTTATTTCTTACTGAAGCGACCATACGAGTCATAAATACTCATACTCCGCCCAAGTAAAACAGAAACAAGCAACACTTAGTGGGCCAGCCAGAGGCTTAGGGCCCACACAGGAATATCTGAGTATTCCTGAGTATTCAATAAAAAGATGCCTTATTCATAAGTAAAGTTAAGCACTGAGTTTTGTGTAAGTTGATCCTTTAGTCGCGACAGTTCCTGAAGGTCTTTCACACAAAGAATTTAGTTATGTATTTATTTATATACAAGAAGGTATATTGGATTTGTGAGAGCACATAACATTGATGTTCTTACATTCTTACAAAGTCACTAAAATTCATACCGTTGCGGGCAGGTCCTTAATCTAACATATAAGTTTATTAAGAGGTATATTGCAACAACATTTGAGTTTAACATAATAACTACAATATAAAATGATATAATTACACTGGTAAATATATATATCTTAAGTACTAATATTGGGAAAGTGAGTGTACAAGATACAGTGTGAGTTTGAAGCACAAGGTAGGGAAGTATGTGGATGAAATTAGGTACTTTTTGGTTTTACTTTGAGTAAGGCATTGGTTGGGCAATTTTTAAATTCATTGGGAACCAAGTTCCACAGACTGGGTTTTACGGTTTCAGCGGGTAGGCGGTTCCATTAGTGGGGAAATATCTCCTGTTCTCAATCCTACACTGTGGCTTGTTGAGCTTGAAACCGTTGCTCCTTATTTGTGTTACATCTGACGTCTTGAAGAAGTTGTCTGGATTAATATCTCCCAAACTGCTCAGTATTTTAAAAGCTTAGATGAGATGAGCCTTGTCATGTCTGGTTTGCAGATGGTTAGCCCTGTGGCCTTCAACTGCTCCTGGTACGAGAGTCGACTTAGTTTCTGAATGATTTTTGTTGTTGGTGTTAAAGATAGCCGCATATACTCATTAAGATCACATATATATACTTGTAAACATCTTAATATGGTGTCATTTAAATCCAAAATCTAGCTAAATTATTAGAAGCATCACGTACTCTGCACTTGAAAAAGGAATTCACCATATTACAGATAGAAAAAGTGTCAATTCCATGAGTCACGTAACTCCAACCCTGGAAACACAAACCGAAACTGTCCCTATTTTCCGCTGGTTACAACTTGTAATAAAGTTGTTACATCTTGGCTTAACGTGTTTATGACGTATTAGAACGTTGTTACAACTTGCTATATTGGTTGTTATAACTGGTTAGGTGGTGTTAAAACTTGTTCGAACGTTGTACCAACGTCGTAGTTTCGGTGTGTATTTGGCGGGAAGCTTGCTCTGTCATCCACTTGTCGCGCTGGGAACACTTTCAAAACAATCAATGTGTTGGTTAATGTCAACATATACATTTGACCTACTCTGATGAGATAGATTTTCCTTGTATGGACATTTCCTATATACACAGGAACATGAGGAACATTTCTTATATACACAGGAACATGAGGAACATTTCCTATATACACAGGAACATGAGGAACATTTCTTATATACACAGGAACATGAGGAACATTTCTTATATACACAGGAACATGAGGAACATTTCCTATATACACAGGAACATGAGGAACATTTCCTATATACACAGGAACATGAGGAACATTTCTTATATACACAGGAACATGAGGAACATTTCCTATATACACAGGAACATGAGGAACATTTCCTATATACACAGGAACATGAGGAACATTTCCTATATACACAGGAACATGAGGAACATTTCCTATATACACAGGAACATGAGGAACATTTCCTATATACACAGGAACATGAGGAACATTTCCTATATACACAGGAACATGAGGAACATTTCCTATATACACAGGAACATGAGGAACATTTCCTATATACACAGGAACATGAGGAACATTTCCTATATACACAGGAACATGAGGAACATTTCCTATATACACAGGAACATGAGGAACATTTCCTATATACACAGGAACATGAGGAACATTTCTTATATTCACAGGAACATGAGGAACATTTCCTATATTCACAGGAACATGAGGAACATTTCTTATATACACAGGAACATGAGGAACATTTCTTATATACACAGGAACATGAGGAACATTTCCTATATACACAGGAACATGAGGAACATTTCCTATATACACAGGAACATGAGGAACATTTCCTATATACACAGGAACATGAGGAACATTTCCTATATACACAGGAACATGAGGAACATTTCCTATATACACAGGAACATGAGGAACATTTCCTATATACACAGGAACATGAGGAACATTTCCTATATACACAGGAACATGAGGAACATTTCCTATATACACAGGAACATGAGGAACATTTCCTATATACACAGGAACATGAGGAACATTTCCTATATACACAGGAACATGAGGAACATTTCCTATATACACAGGAACATGAGGAACATTTCCTATATACACAGGAACATGAGGAACATTTCCTATATACACAGGAACATGAGGAACATTTCCTATATACACAGGAACATGAGGAACATTTCCTATATACACAGGAACATGAGGAACATTTCCTATATACACAGGAACATGAGGAACATTTCTTATATTCACAGGAACATGAGGAACATTTCCTATATTCACAGGAACATGAGGAACATTTCTTATATACACAGGAACATGAGAAACATTTCTTATATACACAGGAACATGAGGAACATTTCCTATATACACAGGAACATGAGGAACATTTCCTATATACACAGGAACATGAGGAACATTTCCTATATACACAGGAACATGAGGAACATTTCCTATATACACAGGAACATGAGGAACATTTCCTATATACACAGGAACATGAGGAACATTTCCTATATACACAGGAACATGAGGAACATTTCCTATATACACAGGAACATGAGGAACATTTCCTATATACACAGGAACATGAGGAACATTTCCTATATACACAGGAACATGAGAAACATTTCCTATATACACAGGAACATGAGGAACATTACCTATATACACAGGAACATGAGAAACATTTCCTATATACACAGCAGTTTTACACGGCTATATACACTGTTTTTCCTGCTCTACAGGGTCAATATATTGTGATCAACATCGTTAATATTTGATGTGTATGATGGGACGAATATATTTGCTGTGTGACAGCAGAGTCGAGCTCTTAGCTCTTGGCCCCCACCTTTCTAACCGTCGGTTGTCTCATGTACTGACTCCCGATCTATTTTCCTCTATCATACCTACTATATATTTCTCTCTCACATACACATCTCTAGGATGCAGCCCGTACCAGCTGCCTAACTCCCAAGTGC